TATTGAATAAATATAATACTCACACGGTGGATGAGGCGAGACAATCTGGTTCAGGACCTGAACGACTTTGCACAAAAACGCCGTACTTATGTTTATTGTCCCCAAGCTTTGGAACAAGGACAACTTCCTGCTCGATCGAATTGCCCGAATTAATAGGACAGTCATTTCTTTTCAATGACAAAAACATGAAAACATATGCATTATTAAGAAAGAATACAAGTCATAATATCAACCTCAGTCGAGTAAGTAATAAATAGTGACAGAAGCTGTATAGAGAGCTAGTCGAAATGTTTATAAAATTAAAAAAAAAAACGTTGTTGTACTTAGTTGTTGAATTGTAAAGGAGCGTACTATTCAGAATTTACCTTCGCTATAGTAACGATTTGAAATTGTATACGAGAATAGTTCTTCTAAAGCTGGCACCAGCTTTAGTCCTATAACAGCATATATCTTTCTCTGCTGTTTATTCCGTACACGAAATGAAAACTACACCACCGACGACGCTGCTAACCCAGTTTCTCTCTGTAGAACTTGCAAAGCATAGCGTTTATAAATAGATGTATTCCTTTTTTTACATTTAACATTAACACCTGCTATGTAATATGTCATCTAGAAATACATATATTTGCTAAATGAACTTGTGTTTATTCCAGTTAAGACATAACCCGACCTCTTTTTCTGTCTAATCGAGATTGCTTATTAACAAGGGAAGATGTTGGCGTTGTTTTTTTTTCGTTTCTGTTCTCTCGGTTTGTTTTCCTGTTACGCGCTTTTACTATTTCGAACGAGCAACAGTCAACTTGGCCCCAGGCCTTTTTCAGGGCTACCTCGCTTTTTTGCAGTCTGTCCTGGCACACACATACGTGCAACAGGACGCCAAACGCTATAAAGGACTGGCCACAGCAAAGGATTATGCTAATGATGAACAGCGTCATAATCTTTAGGGGACGCTGGCAAAAACCAGTTCATGTCATGCCACTCAGCCACTAAAAGGACGCTCAGCAACAAGAAGTACCACTTCTATGCCAGGCCATTCAGTTTCCTCATGGCCTGACTAGCTTTTCTCGCATAGCACTTTTATGATGTCCAAGCCATTAAGAGAAGGAAATTGTTATCGAGGAAGTCTTATGCAGATACTAGCCAGAATTATACTGCTCCGACAAAAACAGCCGTTTGTTTAGCAGAGTGGCATCTAACACGATCGTAATAATGAAATCGGATGGAAACAGTAGGCAATATCTTGCGGTTATTGAGAATCACAGAAATAAGCTGTCATAATGAAGATAACGTATTATTACATATATAGTAATGTGTCCAATGGGCGAACGTGAACGTTCTCGTTGAATGAGAAAGTCTTTTTTGCCCGTTAAGGCACAACTAGGCGCATTCGAACCATTATGTTGACAAAATGATTGATTACTACAGATAAAGATCGGTCTTAACACAGCGAAACTATATAATGAAGTGTAACGTAAACTCGTCCCGTGTCGTCAAATAGATGCGCTTTGGTTTGCCAAATTCAAGACACGCTTTACCTGCCTTATGAACAAAGTATATCGATTGGTAACGAGTTACGTAAAGCAAACGTAATTTAAAGTATAAGCACAGCGGCTTCTTCACACATCAGAATTGCATTCATAGGTTTTTAATAATATTCCATAGTGAATATATGCCAAGAAAAACGGAATCAACCGGATCTTGGTAAAACGACTTATAGACTAGTTAGAAAATGTAACGATAACGTAAATAAGCTGCAGACGAAATATAGGCAATGCTAGTCGCTATAGATTCCATTACGAGAGAAGGGCAATCGGTTAATCAGGTAGATCTATGAAATATAGCGGTGAAGTTATTTACAGTTAGAACCGAGACAGATTACCTATTGTTTGTCGTAGCCACGCACACCTTCCATTTACCAGTGGAGAACAGACAGATATCAGCCACCTGCAGCACCGAGACCTTAACATGCTTGATCGTTTTATGCGATGAGTTCGACAGATGAATCTTCACACGAATCTCTTCGCCATGCAGGTACAACTAAAAAATGTGGGATTTGATTATAATAACATGGCATCTGACTAGCAAGATAAGTTTTCAATATTCGTTTTGAGAGTCGAGCAGGTAAATCTTGCTTCTATTCTCGTTACTGGCGTAGCTGATGTGCGGGTGGTATTAATACGTCAATCGCTGACACGTACCGCTTTATTGAGAGTTGCTTCAAGCGACAGGCTGCCACCATTAAGTGGAAACTCTTTAAAAATCGTCCCTTTTGGATACACGGGGCTGTCATTGTTGTCGAGAAGATTTCGCGCCAGCGATACATACTGCACCTGTTTGTATGATGGCCGATAAGAGAAAGCAGAATTAAAGTAACTGTAGTCTTCATCGTCGCGGCATTCTACTTTGTCTCAGATACTGTACACGATTTCTAGAACACGAAATGCATGTGGCCACTGCAAATGAGGGAAACGATATTCGTGAACGACAAACATAGATCTATCACTTTCATTCATTGTTGCTAGAAAAAAACATGCATAGCGCTAATAGTTGGTCAAAGGTTTTTTTCTGTAGAAGTACGTGACGTATAGGAATGGACACGCATATTAGAAGCAACTATATCGAAGAGCAACACCATTAACAATGTAGATATGGTATTAAACCCACGCTTCTACCTGTATGTGGAAGGTTCGAAAAAAACAGATTATCTATTACCTGATTAATGCGCCCCAAAAAACAGTTAAACGCTAATACAATGTATTCAAGGTTTCCTACATCGTATGTAATCCTAGACGATGATTCTTATAGCATATTTACTAACGCGTGACATGAAGAGTTGCGCGGGAAGATTTGAATTGAAACACTGCTATGGATAATTTCATATCCATTCGGAATACACTAAAGGAAATGTGACGATAAACTAAGCTATTCACTGTAATTTTTCATTTTATAGTTAGGACTTCAATGAGTGAAATCTCACACCTGACTTTTCGATCGGCGGTATTTTTATCTACTTCTACTGCAGCGCTCCCTGAGCTGGTTAAAAAGTTACCCCTCGAAGAACAAATTTAAAAAAACGTTCTACAATTGCTACCTTTCACCAGCTTTTAACAACAATGGATGGAGAGTAACCTTTTCTTATACAGGCGATTCTCACGCTGGGAGTTTAGTTTATACCGCTTATAGATATGAATGGCTTGAGCACGCGAAAGCCAGTTGGAACTGAGGTAAATTGGGAAATTACCTTTTTGATGGGAAAGTTAAGCAAACTGATCGTAGTCTGTTGTTCGTCGATGTCCAAACAGGAGTAACAGCGAATGTAGTAGCGAACCCCGCAAGTGTCGCCGGAGTCAGGGGTGGTCCGCTGCATAACCATTGAGACAGGCGCGTCCCCAGGAAACTCAAAGCGAAAAGGAATTGAATCGGCTGTTAAGCAAAGCAACGTCGACTGGTGAAATGAAGATAGTGGGATTGCGTACCGTGACAAAATGCGGCGTTCAGTCGAAGCTTTTTGCAGCTCGACCTGAGGAGTGATACCTGTCGAAAGTGTATCATTTAATATTATCTCTGCAGTGTTACGCTGAAAATCATTTGTAAATTCGTTCTGAAATGCAGACATTTTTTGTTTGATGCCCAGTTTGCAGTGTGAACGGAGACACAGTACTGTCTCCGGTTGGGCAGAATTGGTCCAAAAAATGTTATATAAGAAGTAAATGTAGAACGAGCTGAAACTTTGCAAAGTCGAACCGATCGAAACGTCTTCAATAGCCTTCGTGCCAATACAGAGATTGCAGACGAATCGATTAAATTCTAAACATTCTTCTAAAATTTCACAGCTCGAGTATATATTACTTTGACAATTCATAGAATTAAGACACAAAGACACTACTCGACGATACTTTCTAAGCTCGCAGGGATTTTTTGCAAAAATCGTATTTTAGAAGAAGTTCTTAAGTTAGGTCGCCAATGTGTTGACCTACGCTACTCGCCGAGAATCGTTAAAGTGCGCGTACTGAAGGAACATATGTACCTGAATAGGAAAATGAGCAGGAGTTCTACGGATATATTAGCAATGCAACAGGCATGTGAAGGAAAGTTGCGGACTTTAACTTCGCAGCGCATCAATTCGAATAGTAACTTCGAAATAGTAACCTGTCTGCTTATTACGCTTACTGTGAGCGAAGTATGGATACAGACACGTCTGTCTCGTGCTAAGGGTCAACCATCTCAGGCAGTATTGACTCAGTTCTAAACATAAAATCGAAACACCTAGCTTTCACCAATTTTATGCGAAGACCCTGTTTTTATAAAGCCAGTCTTGCAGGACCGTCAAAGAAGTCGAGCGATGAATCGAGCGGCCTTGTTTACGGCCTTATCAAATCGGAAAGGGCTCCCCGCGAATTAGACTGTTCTAGGCTTACGAACGGCGTAATTGGGCAACCAGGGCGGCAAACTCAGAGCCAATGAAATGGCAGAGTCTACAGACACCGGCCTGTTTTGGCACCGCTTAATGGCCAAAAAAAACGTTAGAAATGCGAATTTCGTCTGCTGTGGTACGCTGCTCTCAAACCTGCTCACACGATAGCTAATGCTTTGTGTATATTGACACAAACGCTTACCGGTCGTGGTACTAATTAGAATACCGAAAAACTTCGGTAATAACAAATGTTCTAACGATCAGCCGTAGATCCAGCAATTCCACCGTTATATAAAGCTGAGAGAATTAATTCCACTAGAAGTCCATACTCACTATGAACTTTGATCCAGTTTACCTAGTCTTATGAAAACCGATATCGCTGTAGCAATAGCCGAATATTATTATATTTATACTGAAAACATACAAAAGTTATTATACACGTTGGAGGATACTATTATTTATAAAAAAAAAAAAAAAAAAATTTAGATATTAATGTTCGATGTATTTTTTGGATATTGCCCATAGCACAGCAGATGTGAAAAATGCTTGGAAATGTTCTTTGCTAATCATTAGGAACAACTCTCAAATTCAATCAAATCATGAAAATGAAATTCAGTATGTGAACTTGTGACCTTATGGGATACTATTGTCCTTTCGAGATGATATAGCAGAGCGAAAGGGCTAGCGGGAAATCATGTTGCTTTTCTGTTAGCATGCCTGCTATTTTTTTGTGGCACGATCAGTCGGTCTGATCTACACAATTTGGCCCCAAGAAGTGGTCCTTCGTGAAGAGTGTGCATTATATCCGCACTTTTAATAATCGCCAATATATCTTTTTAGATTCAACTGAATTTTTGTATCTCGCGGAAGGGCATCGATGGAATATCTAATAGTCTGACCTAGAACGCCATTTTCCAAATGGTCAACGGTCATGTTTCTAGAGAATAACTTTCTGAATAGGAAAGCCGAGGCCTTGAAGGTTTTTCTTGAAGCAAGAAATAAGTGCCTTATTTAGAATTGATACTATTCATAGAAGCAGAGGCATTATTTTGGATCAATATACATATTGTCCGCAACATTGTTTTCCCTAGATGATATAAACTGCAAGTAAAATTCCGTCACAATTAGTTTATCTGAATTGCTATTTGAAGGTACAGACCTTGTTTTGGACACAATATCTCGGCTCTGTAATGGATTCGACTTTCACACATTATCTTGTTTTAAGTGGGAATCAACGGTTTCCATCTTTAACAAAGCTATTTAAGGATAGTAGTTGTACGGCTGTTACTGCGCAGCAACTAACGCATCAGTTAGGTACAAAAAGGTGTATTAAAGAAGAGGCAATAAAGAATAGCCGAGGCCGTTCTTGCGAAAGACCTGCTGCTTTCAGTAAATCAATTGACTCATTAGGGAAACTTCGACATTAGATGTAGATTTCTATATGGCTGCCGATGGCCCCCTCCCGAAGTTACGGTAAAATGACAGAATGTACATATACTTTATCAGAACAGCTATTTAGAACCGTCTATAAAGCGGATCGTTTAATAAGAAGACTGCTCATATAATTTTGCATGTGGCTGCCTGTGTCTGCGTTCGTGTAGAGTGATATATTGCCAAGAAATAAATTTGTTGCTATAGATGTGATTGTTCTGTTTGAGATGCCTAAGCATCAAATGCATCTTTCTAATACGTAAAAAGCCCGTCGTATAAGACATACGCCGGGGGTAATTTTGGATCTTCGGTTAAAAGCGTTAGTGCGTACTTTTTGGCAATATCTCTTCAGGGACCTCTCCTTTTCACACTGCGTCCCTGGCGTCATCTGACAACAGGGTGCTCTAAAGTGGTCGTCCTTGTAGTATAGAGCCACGTTAAACATAAAACAATAATAAATTCAGACTATTTACAACATCGGAGATGTGGCATTTTTGTTTGTGTAAAACAGCCTTGTGCCTCAGCCGTTCGTGTATCATTTTCAGTAAATAATCACGGTAATTGCAATAAGCTAAAAAGACACTTTTTTTTTCGGTCAGACTAAAAGTACAGAAGCCGTTCAATGCAGCACCAATAGAGAGGTTAGCATGCAACCTAATAAGACCTTGTAGTAGACTCTTACTTGATGCGCGATTCAGAAAATGGACTCTAACGGGCGGTAGTATAGGTACACAATGTTTTCAGTACTCGCATGTATAGTAGAACGCGCACAGGTAGACATTTGATAGCATAACTGTTGTAGTTTATATCAATTGTTTCTTATAGATCTAAGGGCGAATACCTCAGGTGCCTAGGTGACGACTAATTCCCATTGGATTTAGTCATCGTGCTATTCAGAGCTGTCCTTGAGCTTATCATGATCACACAAGCCATCCGCTGAATATAAATGCCATTTTTTCCCGACCCAATATCACCGGTTTATGAATGCGTTCTAACCTGCTGTGAGTGAGTACAGCCATAGTCATGTATAAATAAATGCATGTATACAATACGGTACTTGAAGCTACCTGAGGCCGTCTTATATATACTTGCGAACCGCAAAAGCAATCCTTGCACTTTTTTTAATGAGATATCGTAATTTAGCATGGGACTCACTGCTTCTAGCGCCAAATCAAAAACTTCTAACCAGGACGAATCTCCACATTTAGCCAGTGGCGTAAGGTCGGCTCTATAGGGCAAGAGGAAGACAAGATCTCTAGTAACGGGTGCTAAGGACGGTGTTGAGCAAGGGACACGGACGTACGTGTTGAGGCTCAGGGTTCGACTGTGCTAATGGCGCCACCTAGCGCATCTAAAAAAATTAAACGGCGTCTATGATGAAATTGCGTTTTTTATACTGTTTTTTTTGCTATTCTCATTATTCACATAATAGTATATTGTGTCTAACGCTACTGACTCCTAATTGTAGCAACGGATAGAGCACGTACCTGATGAAGGTCCAGCAACAGGTTCTTTATTCCTGTACTGAGGACTCCTAGGATAACTTCCACTTAATCCCTCTGGGCTAAGCCTTCTCCTCGCCGAGCAGACCGGAGCGTAACCCATGTAGATTTCTCGACATAAAGACATTCCCAAAATTTCATCTTCTTCGCGTCCATAACGAAACCGGCCCACTAAAGCAATATACACCTTTTCGCCCAGTTCCAGTTTGCTGGGGTCAAATGACACAATGCCCTCTGTATAGATAAATTGAATCGCAAACAAAAACATATGACACGTGTGAAAATGCTCATTTCTACTGTAACTTCACAATGCAAAATAAGTCCTAAAAAGGCCTAACCTATTTACTGAAGCTAAATGAAGGCGTTGCAATGACATCGAACACAAATTACCATTTTAAACATATATTGTTATTTGCTTTTGATAATTCCGAAATTTTATCGCAGATGTTGCGCGAACCATAGTATCGCCTAGTACAGAATAAATACCCTCGGTTAACATGTAAATGTCAAGTTTCAGCGGAGTAAAGGTGATCTCGTTTAAGTGTTGGCTCCTTGCGATTGACAGTAGCGCATCTGCTTTTTCTATTACACATTTATTCACGATATAACCAAAACATCGGTTAGTTCGACATTGTTTCAACATGAGCTTCTGTCAGTAGACCGGTGTTAACAAAAGCATTATTTTTGTTCTCGATATGCGCGAGCCCGGCAAGCTTCGTATAGCTCTTGGTTAAAATATGTTCAGCTGCAGTTCAACGATATCCGATCCGCGTCGTCGGCGCTATCTCGTCAATTCAGGAAACATCTGAAGAACCGACTAAGAAAATGAACGTTCCACCTATTGCGCTCTGCATGAAACAGTCTTCTAAAAGCTAGCTGAAGTAGGAACGAGACAGGTTTTTTTCCTACTAATTCGCAAAATGATGATAAATCATTCCTGATCGATCCGACGGTGCGAACAGGGAATTATCTACACGAGACGTGAACAAGAAAGCTCAAGTAGTTTGTCAGACGCTTTGCCGCTTGTTCCGATCTGTCACGACGAATCTACTCAGATCATATATAACTTCATATCAAAACCATAAACATTTAATAATATCAACGATACTAAATGTGCTAATATTTACACAGTAACCAGTTTACTTACTAGCTAATGGATGCTTACCGACAGGTTCGGTGACACAGCCGAGATCTTCGAATTCAATCTTTGGCATATAGACAGTCACCTATAATCGATTTCAAAAGCAAACAAGGATTGATAGATCAGGTCGAAAAAGAGTAAATTTTTAGAATATTCAAGTGTGACAAATATCCGAAAATGACTAATAAACGCTAAATGAGTTAACTTTAATAGACGAAGGTCCAACTCAGAAGATCGCACTATGATTAATGGCTAGTCATCATACAGGATAGGAATCAGCATGCTACATTCAATATTGTCTATTGGCACAGTTTCCGCTGTCGTTAAAATGTAGCACCTCACTGAAGATTAACCTAACCATACTTAAGGAGTTCACAAAGAACAATAAACATTTCACGCGAGTCATACCGCCATGTCACTTGGAAAAAATCATTTACAGGTGAGAGAATCAAGTACTGTGCTGGAAGGCCTGTACTTCGAAAAAAATAAGGATCCTTCAATAACAGTCCCAAGAGAACATTGACGCCTTTCAAGGGAAACCGCGTTGGTACAATTGATGAGATGCGGGTACACGATGCGACGCGGAGATAAAATGCAACCATCTGAGTATCGTGTACAAAGTGACTTCAAACCGAATCAAGCTTGGTTTCGTTAATTTTCGATTACCCGAATCCTGCGCATTACGAAGGCACAGCACGTATCCGTCGTGCCATTGGAGTACGATCGAAAGAACTTGTAAACATATTACGTAATACCATTTGCCAGAATTCTCCGAAAACAAGTCATGAAATCATGATGAGGCACACTTCTGCAGAAAAATTTCATGGCTGGGTTGCCTTAACCCCATATTCAGCACTTATAGCCCGTGAATTGGTGTTACTGCAGACGCTCAACAAACACCAGAAAAGAAAAAGCTTTGATACAATCGAAAACAGTTTGGAGAATACGAGGTCTTTTTCTGTGATTGAGTTTAAAAACTCCTCTAGTGATTAAAGAAAAACGGCTACATACGTACACTGAATTCCGTGACGAGTAGACCGAAGGGCAAACTGGAATTTGGACGATGAAGGCCCGCCCCCTTTCGTATGGAGCAAAATTTCGCCCAGTAGTAGTAGTATAAATATTATAGTCAACGGATATTATAATATGATTACGTGAATAAAGCCTGTCAGCTAATTACAAAACTAAATATGCCTGCATATAAATATTGTATGTATCACTCGAGCAGTAAATGGGCCGATATAATGTAATGTATTAATAACTAGATAGCGATTTAACTTCAGGTCGTCCTGCAGTGAACTGAAATAAGGTAAGGTGGCTGTGTTGTATTTACTGTTCGACGAACTTTGGTACCTGCCCTACGATTGCTGCGGTTGCAGCCACAGCTGCTTCTTCTGTTGCTGCTGGTGGAAAGACCTCTGTAGGAGAACGAATCGATAAAATGGCTGGTTGTATCAAGGTCTAATTTCACTCGAAGAGACTAGCTTCATTTGGAATAATCGCATGATCCAGCCAGTCGAAACGCTGGTGCTGTGGCCGTAAGCAGAGCTTTTTAGGACGACTGGCAAGGTCAAGCTGTGTCCTTATCGTACTCACTCAGTTTGTGCTGCTTGAATCCACACATCGTGGCACACTCGCCCACACACACATACATAACTGCATAGATGCAGACCTAGACTCGCGCAAGCTCACAAAAACAATGATATCTACCAATACACAGCATGTACTGATTAGCATGAAATGACTTCAGAGTGATCGCCTTTAAGCAAGGCTAAAATATCTAAAATGAGCCATTTATTAATACGTCAGAAGCTCTCTATTTACAAATGTTATTCATACATTTGAGACTTCGTCTTGGGGGGTTTTAAAAAAAAGATCGTGCAAGGCTGTACAAACAACTTTACAGGTTCACCTGCCGGCGGGCTTGAAGATTTTTTGCATCAAGAAGGCACCCAGTTTCAATCGAGTACAGGTCAGGGAACTCAAAATTACCATCATATGGCAAATAAAGTATACCTATTGGGATGAACATACACATCATCGCATCGAAATGTCATATCGTTTTGTTGGCGTTAAGGCGTTAGTTAACGACGTGGGCATGAAGGCAACTGTATTGATCCCCGGCAAAACTTGGTCTTCATTTCACACAGCATATTATAACTTTTGTCAGAGTTTTGTCAAACAGTTATTTTAAAGTCAATTTAGAGAATTTGATGCTAGCACGCTTTCGGTTCGACTCGAAAACAATTGTTTTAAAACAAAACGATCCACAAAACAGGAAAATAAATATGGAGAAGCTCAAATCACTGCTACAAAGTCAACCAAATAATTTTATGGCTATGATCGGTTGTTTTAGTCCTATAGAAATCCGGCCTTACGGTCCGGCTAGAAAGAACCCAAAGCTGTTGACAGACGAGTTTGAAAATCAACATTTGTAGCATTAAAAATTTCGGCATCCTTTCTAACCAGCGCTGCATCAATAGTTTCGTCTGCTCAATGTCTATCGAAGCAGTGTAGCCATATATGCAGTTGTGAATCATCCTACGAAAGGATAAAATCACATTTTCTAGGATATTCTGTTATCGTTTGTTAGCCATTGCGCAGAACGAAGGGAAAGTAATGTGGATGACGGACGGTAGTTAGGCAAATATCTTTTTTGTATATATCATTTTCTGTGTCGATGTAGCAGAAACGGCGGCGGCGGCGGCGGCGGCAAATACGATAGTACTCTTTATACAGCAGCTCTGACTGCTCGTATGGGTTGCCACGGCGTCACAGTTTAGCCTGCATTAACTGCTATGATCGCGGGCGGCGTTCGTAAATTGACCTCGTTCGGTATGTAGTAACAAGAACGTGTAACGATCGCTGCGCCAATGTGACTTCGCAGAGCATCTTTTGCCTAGAAAAGCTACGCGAGAAAAATAATCAAATAACCAATTTATGCTATATCTACGCACAGGGAATGTACTAAATATATTACCTATACCATGTGCTAAATAGTGCTTGCAAAATAACCACGCGGTAATCGATAGCTCCAATTATGAAAGATCTACAACGGGTCGACACCAGCAGAAGGGGGCAAATAACAATTCGTCTTAGTAAGTGGCCAGGCCGATCTTGACAATCGTCACAGAATGTTAGATAAAAGTTACACCTCTTAACTAGCAGAATGGAGAAAGCCTGTGTTAACCCACTGGGGAGCATCTGATTGACAGCGAACGCTTCTTTGCATAATGCGTATCACTTTTTACAAAGCTTTGCGATGATTTCATACAAAGCAATTCTAATATATCTATCAATCACAATTTCCACGGCCTGGCAGAAGGACACCCTTCACGATTTCCCTATACCTCTCTATCTCCGTTCAAATGAGTAACAGTAATGCCCAGTAACACTGAGATAGATCCTAATGTATGCGTTATACTGCTGATAGATTGCTCTCCTCAATTCACGACAATTCTTGGTAACCCCTGCTGTCACCCTTTCTTTTACATCATTTGGGAACACATATGTATAAATTAGAGGGGCAAGTACGCATGCTGGCACAGACGGAGGCGTAACATATGAAATGTACCACAGCTGGTGCCATTCTCGACCCTTTCATTTTTCTCCTCGGTAGAGAGCCTCACCAAAGACGTCAGCGCCCGTCCAGATCAGACGGAAGTCCACCTGCTCTCATTCGATTGATTGCTACATATCTGCGCAACAAGCACTTACGCAAAGGTATAATTTAAATATTATGCATATGGGCAGCTGGGCAATGTAACACCAGGTTCCCCTATCTTCTTTTGATAGTGAGCCGAAGTACGACCTCGGCATATTTCTGTATTACGATAGTATGGCATCAAAGACGGCAGCAAGAACAGCAGCACCAGTGTAGCGGGAATAAACTGTGGAACTGAAAATACAACTTAGACACATTTGAATAAAAAAAAACAAAAATTCTCTTTCTATTTTAGGACAGTTACATTGGCACCGAATAGCAGGGGGATATTTTCATGAAAGATGTTGATAGGAAATAATACGCTACAAGCGGTCTTACGTGTACAAGGCTGGTAGACATATTGCTGAAATGTTGCGCAGAGTACGGGGAAGAATAGGAAAAAAGTTAATTAAAATGAAAGGATACACTCAGAGAATAGATAAGTCAACAACAATAAGCAACTAACTATAGGAAGCAATTAAGTTTTACTAACATCTATTATACTTGAAGGACTATTGTTCCTTTCAATTTCTTTTCCTCTGATTGTAAACTTACGCCTTATCGTATTATATAGCCATCGACTTTGTGCCACTCCATCTTGTAATCTAATATGATCGGTAAGCAGTTTCATTACTGATAAGTCGCCTATAAAAAATATAAGCATATCCTAATTAGTCGTGTATTTTTTTATCTAGGTGCTTATTCTCATCTGTGAATTTGGGCAAGGTTTATTTTGAACTTAACGACATTATTTAATATTTAGCCTATATCAACTGTGTTACCTAACGTGAACGTCTAAGGTACTTTACGTACAAGTACTTGAGGTATATTAGCGAGCTAGGTGTTGGTAAAGATCGGGATTACTCACTGTTTATTTGCCAGATTCAAAAGATGCTCTTTTTTAGTAAACTTCTTTCATAACCTGTACATAATGTAGGGTTAGCTACTCTGTACAGCACTCATTTGACCCGTGAACATTGTGACCATGCTGACCTTGAAGAACGCAAAACTCTGCCGCTTACTTTCGAGCTCTGTCTACAAGTTTCCGAGCCCTCAGGGTCAGGCGCAAGCCGTTCATTGATGGCGGCTGTATTGTCAAAGAACTTCGATATAAGCGCAACATCGGACTTCACTCACGCGTAATGTATGCGCTGAATCGAAGTACGTCAATGAATCAATCCGTTCTAGGCAGCAGGCCTGCCTATAAAGCAGGCATGGTTACAGTTATCTCTGATGTGCAGAATGTAACTATACTGAGCACATCAAACTTTTAAAGTGTAATGCGTCGCATCAAAAAACGCCTCCGACATACCTTGATGCGTACTCTGGCTGGAGTTACAATCATTACGTGAAGTTTGTTTAAGTTACACTTACATAGTGTCTCCTGCTGTTGGGGTTTACTATCTCAAACGAAACTGAAACATAAGTGAATTGTCTTCCTCTTTGTTGCAAAAGTAGCAGAATAGATAATTTCATCCTTGTAGCAATATTTATAATAAACGTTTCTTTTATCTTTGAAACTGAAGCTTCCATTAGTAATATTTTCTAGTGTACTTTTCATGTGAGATACGGTAAGGATCAGTTTTAGGCACACTTTGAGCTCACAGTGCAGGATTGCTTATGGTGGCAGAACGTAATAGCACCAAGGCCTAACATCCTGGCACGGTATTATTGGTGTGATATTACGACAGGTTGTTTGTACCATATATACACTTTGTTATTTTACCCGGCCAACCGTGCGTCAAGGAGGAAAACAAAAAGCAGGAATTCTAGCGAATATGATTTGCCCAGTCTGCCCTAAATCAGGGAATTACGACGTATAACGTATTCTTTTGCAGGTTTACTCCTGAAAATTAGTGCTCGAATAACTTAATTTCGAAAGTAATCTGGATCTCTGACTTTTTACGCTTGCTTGCAAACAATAGCGCCTCGACGTATTGTTATACTATCGATGGCTGAGTTTGAACGAAAGCTTTACGCAAATCATAACATTATCCTAGCTACATGGCTTATAAATATTCTATACGGATGTAAGCACCTTTCCATTAGGAGACGTCTTTCTCAGCAGGATAGCGTCGCCCAGCTGCACTGGCTCTGTTGCTTCGGTTTCCTCCTTTGGTACCTGCAATGGCGCCACCTGCTTAAGGTCCTTTATCTTGCTATCCTGGTGTTGCGTCGACTTGTTTGTTTGGCTCATCATCTTGTTCATTAGTTGACTGCAGAGACGCTTGACGATATCAACAAATTTTCGTCTAATGAGCAGCTGTTGCTGTGAAGACGAAGTCTGCGAGGTCGCGGCTGTTGCATTTGGTAGCGGCAAGGACGTGAAGGACGTAGGCGAGGCGCTGGCCTCGCTGGCTAGGTTTGCAGGCGTGCACGATATCCGGTTTTGACGCTGCTGCTGGTAATGATGCTGTTGCCGACAGTTGACGGTGGCTAGGTATGAAGAACGGGCAGTTACAGAACAGCTGGATGAGCTGTGCGACAAGTTGGACCAGCTGGAGGGGTAGACTTTGACTTTGTTGTTGGCTGTCCGACACGTGGCAGGCAATACCGAAGAGGTTTGGGATGGCGGTTGTTTTAGGTGGCTGGACTGTTTCGCTCGTTTTGGTTGGTGAGGGCATGGCGAAGGTGGGGGGTCGATCACCACAATCTCCTCATTAAACACCATCAATGAGCGCAATTTTGGCCAGCGAGGCTAGCCGGCTGACTGCTAAGGTCCTGCTAGTCAAACTACCGTCCGACCACTCGTTCGACGATAGGTGGGGTGACGACTACGAACATGATGACGAAGACGACCACGCCAACAGCAGCCAAGCTATTGCAATGACCTCGACGATCCGAAGGATCACTGCAATTAGATTAACCTCAATGAGGAGAAGAATCAATGGGTGCGATTTTAGCTTCCTTCAAAGATCTCTTTTTCTGTCGAAATACTGGCAATTAATTCTCGCCGGAATACTTCAGTGTGTGTCTCTGTTCTCAAAGCTTCGTACGAGAAACAGCTAGGTGAGTCGAATAGATATTTTTTGACTCTGTAGACCAATAAAAGCTCGATATACGATAATTTGATAGTCCAATGGTTTCTTTCTATCCAACACATCTGTAAAACACACATGACAAAAGTTTACAGTTAGCATAGTAACCTGTACAAGTTGCAATAATACTGATTTGTCATCAACGATCTAGAATTACGTGCCTGATTATTTCGACATGAGCTACGTGTGTGTCAATACATATTTAAATCCATTGTTGACCATGTACATTAGCTATACATGTGAATACATTCGTTGATTATTGCAGTATACGTTTTCGTATCATCTACTCTTCGCAGACAATCGCACGGGTCACTTGAAGTCTACCATATGGAAAGCGAAACAGCGAGCGCAGAAACTGATGAAGAATCTCGTCAATATATACCCTTATCTTCACAGTTGTTAAACGATCAAGTTGGTAGTAATTTAAATAGAATTCACCTGATCTTGTTTTCCAGTATGCGCTTTAACGTATAAGATGCTCAAAGTGAGAAATACTATAACATATTATAATATAATGTATATTCGAAAACACGTCTAAGTTAATACAAAGGAATCGAACTTCGTTGCTTCATGCTCATTGTCGACCATGACGACATGCGCATAACACTTGTAGCAACGCATAGACTGTACCTATGTAAATTCTAGCTGTATTCTCTATACGCAGTACAAAAGTTCGGACCAATAATACCGTATCATTAGACCAGAAGATAACCGTTCGGACGCTGCTCCTTCGATCTATACTCCATTCATCCCTCTCGTGCTTTAGCCCTGTCTTCGCGGCCGTTCATTAGTGTTTGTTCATTAGAATTGGACTGCTTATGTTCTCTGCATTGCCCGGCCCACCGTGGCCGAATGGCTCGGCAACCGGTAACTACAAGTAAGGTCTGCAAGTGTTTTGCTGTTTCCATTTTGCCCTTGAAGAATATCGTTTTTGTCATGGTGCCATTCAGGAGCGATCGAAGGTTCGCCAAACTTAAAGCTGAGCTGACAGAAGGCGCAGCGCGTAATGGTGAGCAGGCCAGTGGTTGTGTTTTCCCCTTCCTAAACTTCAAACCGATTGCCATTACCATTAGAAGCAGCGGCGGGGGCTTCGGCCTGCCCGATATCGGCACAGCGAAGGATAGCTAAAATGGCAACCGGACCAAGTGGTCTGAACGACGAAGCCTACGTCCACTAGAAGCGGCGCCACCTCAATCGATAAAAGCTGCCAAGAGGGAAAGATCGGGGAATGGAGGGATGGGGCTCGGCAATCGATACGAGTATATCTTTGACAGGCCTGCGTCACGTCCGGCCCCGTCTTCCGGCAAGAAGCACCTAATCTCATGGAGAATTTCTACTTGTTTTTTGCTTTTATCTTTATGCTTGTCTCATGACAGCGATGTACCTGGATCAACTTAACGTTTGGCAGCTCTCGCCGGGTTCCCCGCTTACTTCCTATCCCGCGGCCCCGGCTCTCATCCAGGGCCACTTCACCCTTCATTTTCCGCAGTCAAGAACAGCTTAGTTGTAACTGGCGAGGCACTATTGCAAAAATTTGAATCGTAAAGCAGCTCTGTTGGTAAACTGAGAGGGCGTCTGTGAACATATGCTACATATGTGTTTAACGTTGTGTCAAAGGATATGCATCGCTAATAAAATGCTGCTGTCATCGAGTGAAGACATCAAAACCTTTGCTAAAAGCAGGGCCCGCGCATGTATGTCTATGGTCATCGGGTCTCACATAATATAATATGGTCTTGAAGTACACACGTGACATGTAATTGTGCTAGCGAAACGTGTATTGATCCTTTAAGACATAAGACTATGAAAATATAAAATCATGGGTATGATGTTAGCAAACAGAGAGGGTCTATTGGTCGATTCACATTAGAAGTGGATAGGACCCGTTCACGGGCCTAATTTTCGACGCACAAACTAGGTGGATTACCTTAAATGCGTTCGAAATACCTGTCCTAACAGTGCAACTAAAATATGTATAATTATCGTGCGAAAAAAAAAACAACAGTTACACCGCACGTATTATATAGGTATGAGATTTGTATAACGAAGTTGAGCAGATGCACGCTGACCAGCAGCACTCGCTATCTGTCGTGCAGCCAATAGATCCAACGGAAGCGACTGCCCGAGTGAGCGTATGCAGGATGAGTCGCAGGAGTTACTATGTTCTCCTTTATGAGGCTAAAAATATAATAGAACGACTAACTGCCTAACGTGTGCTCCCCTGTTTGCGTAACTATATGACACGGTGAGTCGCTATTTTTGAAAAGAGGCACTGAAACAGAGTCGAGATTAATGAGAGTCGCAGTAAACGGCACTGGCGACGCACTCCTGTTAACAGCTGAAAGTACATGAAGATCGTGTTTCTCATACAACGCGTAGATAATTACCATAGTTGATAGCTTCATAATTGTCAATCTAAAACGTGGAATACACCGCAGGCAGTGATCTTCGGGTGGCTAACGCTACCGCCTACATTTTAGAAGGGAGTTAAACAGTTGGTGCGTACAACGTATAGTTCATCTTAATTCTTCATGGCTAGCACCATCAATATCATTAGAGATCTCTTTTTGGTAGCACATAATGAGTCAGCGACTCTAACTAGCTTGCCCTAGCATGTCTGTCTGCTACGCCCATTATCGATACCCGGCTCCTTTATATTTCACGCGTGGTTCACTTCACGTTGTTTTCTTTGTATGGAACTAGCCCTGATTTATCATCGGGAACCTGAGTGAGCGTAAACTTAGACTCAGTAGCTAACTCCGCGTCGCCTTCTTCTGACAAGTTCGGACACGTTTGAAGTATCATATGTAGATAGCCCTACACAGCAGGCGTCCCATGGCACAGTCGAGTACCCTCGTTGATAAAGTCAACTTTTCCTTTTTGCATGCTAACTACATATCTCAAAATCAATGAAAATCATCAACAAATGAAAATACTAGGAGGTAAATAATTTACACAGCATATTAAAGTAACTGTGCTACATATGCTGAAGCCAAAAATCTAAAAGATACGCATCTACTAGCCGGCTGAATGATTTTAAACTTTCAATAAAATAGGAATCAATGCGTGCTCCCCAAAAGTTCAAGAGCTTCCCAGTAGAATGATGCTGTTACCCCATTGACGTCGCTAGTGTGAAACAGGGAGGGTCGTCACTTTCTAAAGCAGAGGTTCCTCAGGAACCGTCAATCGCTCGACAGTTATTCATACTGGATAGCTTTTTACGGCCCTCTACCGACTGCTATTGTTGAAATTTCTACATATTTTACGTTCAGTAGATATAAGGAGAAAATAAGTAAAACATTTTTCATGTTATTGTTTTGATTAAATATAAGGCCAGTATGTTCGAAGTCGTTACCCTACCTGAGAAGAGAGCAAATTATTTCCGCCCTAGATGAATTTCGTCACTAGCAAAAAGTATAGAATTGTTAAAATAAATTTAAAATAAAAAAAAAGTTAAATTTCCGATCCAAACTTCGTACCTGCAAACCGTTTCCGTTTAGGAGACTAATATAATTTGAGTCTAGTTATAGGTTCCGAATCAAGCGCATAGCTGTTGCACGATTAGCGACGGCATTTTTTTACTGCAATTCTCTATTATGCTAGACACTATATTAATTTTATTTATTTATTTTTTTAATTATTTGTCATCGGTATGGGGACGCCAACTGTTCTTGCAGAAGAAATGAGGAGCGGAAGATTTAGGAAAGGAAGTTTTTCAGCGGATACGATTGAATAGAGTGTTCATTTTCTACGAAAGTTTGCGAGTACCTATTTAACAAAATGACTTAATTGTGAATTTGTTTTTAAATTCCATTCCCTGCTTGTTGTAAATTCGTGGACGTTTGAGGCCGACAAGTGTTAAAAGAGATGTGTACAGTTTAAATCGGCGAACCTTTGGACATTGCTTTGGTTAACAACGTTTTGTTGACAAACAATCGTGTTTCTATGTTTCTTCTAATCTATGTTTCTTTTGCATATAATAGCAGCTCGGTGTCTTCTTAATGACGATGTTCTTCATCGAGGACCACTGTTTCTCTAATTAAATGTTTTCTTCTTAACAAACGCCCTAACAGTAGCTTCCCACGACAGACTAGGTAGCAGGTTCACAGTGTGACGCAAATTCAAATCATCATTAAGGACAGGTCGTTGTTGCGGCTGTAGTTCCTGTGCACGGTAAAGTTGAACCTTGTAAGAAGCTAAGCAGGACACGAAGCAGGATCAAGACGGACCTAGTTAAATTATTCAAGTCACGTAACATATATCAGAGGTGGAGATACGATATATGGCGGGCACACATCTGTCAATTGGCAGAATTCGATTTGTCTTTCAATAACGACCGTTATCAAGCAGGAAGGTAGATCGAAAGCACTGGCGAATGAAATGAAGTTGTTCTTATTGACAACGCTTCCAGTTAGATTACAGTGCGACGTTATAGTCCTCAGCTTGTCTTAGACTAGCTTTTTTCATCCATCTGACCCCATGGCACGGGGAAATGGTCACTACAACCGCACGCCAGCATCGGTTACCGACGACTGAGTAGCAGTAGTAGATGACTGGCCGGCATTCTTTCCGGTACAGGAGTGTTAGCAAAATTGGTTCCACGATGCTCTAAGTCAAGACACACTTGATGCGAATAGTCATCCTTACGGCTCAGTCATAGAACATACATTTTCTATTGAGACGCCGTGTGTGAAAAAGTGGTAATTATTGATAAAAACGCAATAGTTATTTATTTCAACCCCACGCAGTACTGACTTAAACAGAAAAAAAAGCAGAACATTGCTCATCTGAAGGGGCTGCGATGAATTATGCAACTCCCATCGATGGATCAATGCAATGAGCAATTGTGTATGTTTCGGTTTAGCATACGTCGTAAGTACTGCACAACTTGCTAGTCGAAACCTTAGCCTTATGCACAATGAGTTTTCGATGCCGTTAAGTAAAATGATGCGCGTGATTTTTGCCTAAATAAAATAATTGTTCTTCTTGGTCCTGTTGGGGCTATTTTGGTACGTCTTTTTTTAGCTAGCAGCTGATCGGCTTGAATGCTGAACAGACCGCGTCA